AATAAATCATATCACCATATTATTAATATAATATTTTTATTAAATTTTATATAAAAAATTAATCATCATTATATAAATATTCTATTTATCTTATTATTACTTTAACTATTCATTTTTTGGTACTATTTTTATTTACTTTGAATTTATTGAATAATTCACTTTACTTATTTATCATTCTTTTTTTCTTTTTATTTTTTTTTTGAATTTTTTTCAATCTTAATTATTTTTTTCTTTTTTTTACCATCAATTAACCGTTTTATAATTATTTATTATATTATATTTACTTTTTTTGAATTATTCGATCACACATTATATTTTTATTTTGACTTTATTTAACAAAGTACTTATTATTTAATAAAGAATTTGAACATATTCATTAATTTATTTAATGAATATGTAATAATTTAGATATATCAAATAGTCTTTAAACTAATGTATTTCATGAATAATAACTGGTAAAACAAAGTTACTAAATATCAAATAATTATCAACATCGTATCATTTGAAATATTTATTTGAATAAATATCATTATCTTAAATATTTTTAAATAGTTATATATAAAATAAGTATTATTGCATAATTAATCTAATACAATGTTAAGACAACTCATAGTTAAATATACTCACTTCATGATTATAACACATAAGTAAGGTAATTGTATATACAATAGCATAATTAATTAAATTAAAATTACATTTAGAAATATAAAAGTAGAAGAATTATTGAATATAACTTTTCTTTTGTGTATAACGTTTCAATGACTTATACATTAAACTATTGAAATTTTTTATTTTAAAAAAATTATTTATCAAGAAAACCAATAAATGTATGATTAAAATGAAGTGTATATGTAAAATAAAGAAGTTGTTTTTAATTTAAATAATAAAAATATAACTATTGTGTTGTTGAAATAGAATATTTATGTGTCAAAATAATTTTACATTTTTAAATAGATTAATTTTTTACTTTTAATAAAATATGTCAAATTATATTTCATATAAATATTTCAATAATATAATAAAAATAATAACATGATTGTTATATATTGTATAGTTAAATAATTTTAATTCATACCATAATTGACAATATAAATGCAAAATGAGTATTATCATTTTATTTATATTGAAAATTACAAATCATTTATAAATACTATGAACTTCAAATAATTTTTATCACACATCATTACAATACTTCATAACTACTAACAAAAGTATTTAAATTATCTTTTAATAAGTAATTCATAATGATAAATTGTATGGTTTATGTAATTAATACTTAGATTAAATAAATATAAATAATGTTCCGTGAATCATAAAATTAATAAATGCTAGAATATATCCATAGAATTTATTTATAAAAATTAAAAAACAAATAAAATATGAATAGGAATATCAACCATATTTGAAAAAAATTTATTTATTTTTATTTTTATTACTTATGGCAATAACAATTTAGTATCCAAAAACATAAATGAATCGGTAACCAGAGTTGTTACTAAAATTATTGATACGTATCATGACAGATAATATTTTCATTTATCATCGAATAAATTTAAAAAATAATAAACAAATTAAATTGTATGCATTGATAAATTAAACCAATTTATTTTGAATGTAAAATTATGAACAATAATTAAATACTTTTTATTCATTAGACAGGAACTTCTTTTATATTAACGCGATGTTGATAATTAAATTATTATTGGTTGTCTCAGAACTTCTCAATCATTTCAACTTTAATGAAAGAATAATAGTATTCTTAATTCAAATAAAAGTAATTTTATAGAATAAAATATTGAGGATAAAATAATAAGAAACTATTTCAATTAATCTTCGATAACTGGCGTGTTTAATCCAGATTCCCATAATTGTTTTGATGTTGCTGTTGCATCACATAACTTTTTTAGTCTAGTTGCGTTGTAATACTTCTTCATAAACAAAACTTTCACTTTTTCAACTTCTTTTTCTAATTCTTTTATATTCTTCCATTGCTGGTAAATTTCTTGCATATTTGTTGAATAAATTCCAAGAATTATAATTGAAGTGTTCATACAACAAGTTGTATATGAAGTAATTCCTTCTCTATTAATAAATTCAATAGTCTTTTTAAAAAAAGTTGGTATAGCATTTCTTATACTAGCTTCTGTTATATCCTTTATTTTTTGTTCAGTTCCCAATTCAATTTTATCAACGATAATGTTTAATATTAAATTTCTAAAGAAAACACTAGTTTCTACACAATAATTGGAGCATTTATCGAAAAGTGTTTCAAGTGGAAATTGGATATTAGAAATAAGAGTGAGTGTGTTTGTTGAACTTCTTCTAATAAGTACACCAAGAAGATCATAAATAATATGAGATGCTTTTATTTCTATAGACCTATCCATAATCATACTAACTAATATTCCAATCAATCCTCTTTCTGTTCCAATAACTTCTCTTTGTTTTACATTACAACCTCTTGCAATAATTTCAATTGAAGTAATTAAAGGAATAAGAAAAGAATGATCTATTTCATCATTTCCTATGTCACTGATCATTGAATTAATCATTTCACTGCCACTCTTTTTTCCAACCAATAACTTTGATGAAAGTACTGATACAAATCGAAGAAATTGAGAAAATAATGAATGAAAGACATTCTCAGATGATCCAGAATAATTTGGAGGTAAAGTCTCAACATCAATAGACTCATATAGTCCATAAACAACATCATCAATTCTAATATTTTTCATAGTTATAAGTTGTGATTCATCATCTAATTTATCTATAATTGATGATAATACAAAAAGAATATTTGAAACAATATCAGCTGCATAAGTACCTTGAATATCTTTAAATATAATGTCAATGTCTGGGTATGTTTCAATTTCTAATTGACAATGTTCATTAAAGGAAGAAATAAGTTGATCATCTTCATCAATGCAACCATTTTGAAGGAGATAAATAATAGCAAGATCAAGTGTAGATAATGAAAGTAATGAAATAACTTTTTGGATAACCCCATGTTCAACAAAACAATGTATATTCTTTTCAATAACACATTCATCTTCTGAACTAGTATGAATAAGATAATTCATCACTGATAAAAATACTCCCAAATGAAGATAAGATTTGTTTAATGAATCAAAGAGAAATGGAAGAATAGTTATATCAATAACATCACTTCTTTTGTCAAGAAGAGTTTCTAATAAAACAGAAGTATTTACAAATAATTCATCAAATTTTAATAATTCAAAAATATTATAAATAAATCTTTCATCTTCTACCATTTGATCATTAAAATGACCTGTTTTCACAAAAAAGTTTAAAAGAATGAGAAAATTACGTTTAACATCAAACAATTCATTTTTATCATTAAATAATACCATTTTTATTGGTTGAAATACTAACCCGAATAATGAAAAAAGACGATCAAGTGTTTTATTTCCAATAATGCAATATTCACAAAATTGTTGAGTAATATTTGTTAATTCACTTGAGTCTTCAAAGACACAATAATTAATAATAGCGCTAACGAATTCATGTGAAATATCTGAAGAATCAGATTTACAAACAGCACTTACAATAGGAAGATAATTATTGTTAATTCCATAACTTCTTTCATTTAAGTAAGTTAATACGTTAGCACTAAAAAGCATAATTGTATGAAGAGATACAGTTCCAACAGTTGTTTAAGAATAGAAAACAAGGTATAATTCATAAACTAAACCAAACAAAAAGAAAGAAACAAAAGAATGTATGGAGAAAAAAAAAGAAACAAAACTAAATCTTTTAGGATAAATTATGTTATTAAAAGCAAAAAAAAGTAAATTATTGTTATTCAATATCACTAGAACCAGAACGAGGGGTATTGACTATAGTTTCATCAACAATATCTTCAGGTAATTGTTTGTATTGGGCAATGTCATCTTGTTCAACAAGAATAGTTTTTGCTTTGTCCCAAACTAAAATAAATTAATATTAAATTCAATAAATTTCATTTTAAAAAGAAACAAAAACAAACTTGGACGAGTTGGTTTTGGAATATAAAAAATGGATAATAACCAAATAAACAAATTACCATATGACAACGTTGATAAATAAGTTGTAGCACTATTTTCAAATCCAAGGAAAAAAGCAACAACAAGAAGAAGAACAAATATAATAACTGATGTTATAACCAATATTCCAAAAGTATAAATTCTTTTTGTATTACCAACTCTTTTAGCTTCACTAAAGGAACGAATAACAGAAAAACATAACCAAATAAAATAAATAACAGCAAAAATAATATCAGCAACACAAAAAACAATATTTGGAATATCTTTTAAAGGTTTGTAATTAATATCAGTTATAGAATAAGTTGTATTATAAAGTAATGTAATTAATATAACTAATATAAATGCACAAAAGAACAATATTCTTCCAATCCAAAAATTAATATTTTTTCTCCAAGATATTGGTTTACGTAATGCTTCAAATATAACAAGAACATAAAACACAACAAACACACAAAATATAGAAGTGATAATAATTTTCCAAAAAACAAACAGTGAAGAAGCAAATACATATTCATAAGTAAAGAATGGGTTATTAAATAAAATTAATACAAACAATAATAAAAATGTTAATTTGTTTTCAACAGGCCAATTTCTATAAACATATTTTCTACTAACAAAAGTAAAAAGTCCCATAACAATACAAGATAATATAATAAACACAAATCTCCATCCAATTTCATAAAAATTATATTTATGATTAACAGTTCTTAATGATAATATTAAATCTCCTAATTGATTTGAGTCAAATGTAGTGTGGCTAATACTCATTGTTATATTATAATATTCATATATTAATAATTTGTATTTAAAAAATGTAAATTTATTACAATTATAATCATCTTTCTTACAATCAAATCTTATATCTATTGGATATTGCTTAACTAATTTTTCACTTTGTCCCATTGTATCTATTCCCTTAATATCAATTAAAAAGTCTATCTCTCCTCCAATATATTGGTCGGGTTTTAAGTTTTTAAAAATTCCTTCTAATCTAAATTCTTCATTAAGTAAAGTAAATGGTCCGACTTGAAGACGTAATTTTTCTGTTTCCATTAAATTAACTCCATCACAACACTCTTTATGATATAATGTGTCTTCAGTACAATGACATTTCCAAACTGATGTTTCATTTGTTTTATATGGAACTGGTACAAAAACACTTATAACAAAACAACCAACTGCTAATAACAAAAAAACAAGAAATCCAGCTGAAATAAACGTGGTATTAATAACTTGAAGTAATGGTACAATTTCTTTTTTATTTGTATTTACCTCTGTTGTATTTCTTAATGTATTTTCCATATTTTGATTTTCTGTTTGAAGTGTTTGAGTATCAACTTGAGGAACAATTGGTTGTTCTTTCATTTCAATTTGTGTATCATGATTAGTCATTCTTTCTTTTTCGTTTTGAGTTGTATTATCAATTTTTTTATTTTTCGTTAATCTTAAAATGTATTATTTCTTAGATTGATAAATGAAAAGATGATAAGAAAAGTTACAACTTTAACTAATAATTAGAAGGAAAGATTAATGAGCTTAAGTGGAATACTCAAAGGAATAGAAAGAAAACAATTTCAAATTAAAACACATCTTGGACTTGAAAATAAAACTAAAGACAATGAACTTTCTTTTTTAAAAGAACAACTCTTTTTAAAAGAAAAAAAGTGTCGCCACTTCTTAACTAAAGTTAGAAAAATTTGTCAATACTATTTCTGTGAAAATAAACAAACAGAAAAAATTTTTTGTTCTTTAAGAAAAATTTATGTTGAAGGGAAAAATGAAGTTAATTCTTTAACTAATACATTAAACTCTCTTCAGAAAACCTTTCAATTAAACAAAAAAGAAATAACAAAAATGGAAAAAAGAATAATGAATGAGGTTGTAACACCTCTAAAAGAATATTTAAAACAATTTAAAAGAATAGATAAAAAAATACAAGAATGTCACAAAAGAAGAATAGATATGGATCGTATTAAAGAAAATGAACAACAAATTAATGTTATGACAAAATTAGAAGATTTCAAAAATAAATACGAAAAACTTAGGGATGAATTAGTATTTGATTTAAATCATTTATTAAACAATATAGATAATTCTATTGAACAGATGACCACTATTATGACTACAATTTTTGAAGATTTTTATTCAAAACAATACTTCAATTTTAGTATATTTAATAACCAAATAAAATATCAAACATTCAACCCAAGTCAACTTATTACAGAAGACAAAGAGTCTATGGCTCATTCAAATAATATATATACTTCAATTAGTAATAATTCTTCTCCAGAAAATAGACAACTAAGAAAGAAATCTTCTTTTTGTGGAAGACAAATTGCTGTCTATCCTTCTACATACTCCCAACAATTCAAAAACTATGGAAATTGGTCTAGTTTAGATTGTTTTCATACAGACCAAATAAATCAACAACTTAAAAAACCAATACCACCTTGTCCTTCTAAAAATTTATTTCCATTGATTCAATACCAACCTCCCAATTCATCTAAAGTTCTTTGTTTATTTGACTATTATTCTACTGATATTCTTGAATTATCATTTAAAAGAGGAGATATGATTGATTTACTAAGGAAAGATGGGTTGTGGTGGTTTGGTGAGTTAAATGGAATAAAAGGATATTTCCCTTCCAACTATGTTCAGATAATAAATTAAAGTGAAAGAAAAATAATAGTAAATACAATAGAAATAAATAACAAAGACAAAAATAAACGAATGAATTGTTTCATTAAAGGGAAACTACATCATCACTTTGTTCTATTGAATGATTTTCTTTCTTTTCTTCAATATTATCTTCTTTCTTTTCTTCTTCCATTTTCTTTTCATTCACTCGTTCTTTTCTTTTATAAGAAACTTTATTTTCTCCATCAGCTTCTTCTTCTTCTTCAAGAACTTTTCTTTTTCTTTCTTTCTTTTCTTTTCTATCTTCTTTCTTTTTCTTTTCTGTTGTATTTTCTTCAACATCTTTTAGTCTTTCTTCAATCCTTTTACCAATCATTTCTTGTTCTTTCTTTGTTTTCTCAATTATCATCTTCTTCTCTTCCATTCTTCGTTGTTGTTCTTTTTCTTCTTCTTCTTTTTTTCTCTGATTTTCTTCTTCAATTTTCCTTTTCCTTTGTTCTTCATGTTCTTTAATGAGTCTTTGTTTTTCTTCTTGGTCTTTTCTTGCTTGTTCAATTAAACTTTTCCAATTCTCTTCAAATGTTTTCATTTTATACTTTAAATTATTAAATTGTTGTAAATAACCAATAACATTTTGTCTTAATTGTTCATTTTCTTCTTTATATAACTTCTTTTTTTGTTTTTGTTCTTCTAAATAACAAGAAGCAACTAATTGATAGTTATATACAATTTGTGAAACTGGCTCAATTTTTAATGCTCTTTCAAGGTGTTCTAATGCTTCTTTATATCTATTTAACATAAACTCACATTGAGCTAATCCATTTAATACTTCTACTTGTTCACCATATTGATTAAGTGTACTTTCAAATATAGATTTAGCCATCTGAATATTATGTGCATTATAATAACATGTTCCCATAGAAAACATAACTTCATAAGATGGACAAACATCATTTACTCTTTGAAGACTTTCTATTATAACATTAAATGGAATTGGATTAGATGAATTTTCTTTTCTTTCAGCAGTAGTTAAAGCTAAACCTCCTAAAGCTAATACATTAGTTGGATCAGCATTAAGAATTTTTCCATATAATTTAACAGCTTCAAGTTGTTGTTTAGGGTCTTGTCTACCATATTTAGCCATTACTCTTGCAAGAGCTAAGAAAGCATATAAATTTGTTCTATTATGATTTGTTACTGAATTAAATATTTTAAAAGCGTCATCAATTTTACCTTGTTGACATAACATTTCTCCCAATAATAATTTAGCATCTTCACAATTAGGAAAATTAATAATTGTTTCAACTAATTCTTGTGATGCTAAATTATATTGTTTTTCATCCCATAAATGATAACACCTTCTGATTCTTGCATCAAAATACCATGGATTTTCTTTAATAATTTCCTGATAACATTTATTTGCTTCATCCCATAATTTCATTTCTTCTAATACTCTTCCTTTATTAAAAAGAAGTGTTGTCCTTAATTCACTACCTTTATCCATATTTAATGCTTTTTCAAAACATTCTTTACTTTTAATTAATTCTTGAATAAAATAATAGCAACACCCCATATTATTAAGTACTTCTACAGTACTATTAATTTCATTAATTCTTTGATAATGTTCTAATGCTTTTTTTGGTTGTTTTTCTTCTAATAAAGAAGAAACAATTAATTCAATTGTATAATCAATTTTAAAAACAGAAGCTTTTTCCAAATATTCAATCGTTTCATTAATTTTATTAAGTTTTAATTCAGTAAATCCAAGTAATTTTAAAACATCAAAATCACCACCGTTATATTTTAAACAATTCATTAAAATCTTTTCTACTTGAATATAATTTTTTTCTCTAAATAAAACTTGTGCCATTCTATAATGTAATGCAGGGAACATACATTTAGTATCAGACAAATAACCAATATTATATTCTTCTTTTGCTTTTACAAAATCTTGTTTTTGATGTGCAATTCTTCCTAAAGTAAAATGTCCATAAATCTTTTCTTGTTCATTTCCATAATTTATTGCAACATTTGCAAATTCTGAAACTACTTTATAATTATTACATTTCATTGCTGCTTCACAAAGTACTATTGCTGCTGGTGCACATTTATTATCAATCATTAATGCTCTATTAGCTAATTCTAATGCTCTTTTAACTGTTTGTGGAGTTCTAATATCCCAATATATTCTTGAAAGATTAATTAATGCATCCATACAAATATTATCAAGAACTAATGCACTTTCATAACATCGAATTGCTAATTTAATTTCTTTTTGAGAATAATATATTCTACCAATACCACATCTAATACTTACATTTGTTGGTTGTTTTTTAAGTGCTTGAATAAAATAAGATAATGCAACTCCATCTTTATGATCTTTTAATTCACATAATGCAAGACCAATTAATGCTGGAGCATAATTTTTATTTAATTCTAATGCACGTTTAAAGTAGTCTTTACATGGTTTTTTAGAATAAAATGCATTAAATCCATAAATACATTCAGCAAATTCATTATCTCCAAATCGTTTTGATTTCTCAAGATATTCATGACATATTTTGTTATTTTGTTCATTTCCTGTATACGCATTTAATGATGCAATTATTATATAAAAATATCGTTCTATTGTTTGACTTAATTGTGATAATGAACTATTTGTCATTATTTCTAAAAGAAATTTTTGTGCTTCTTCTCTTCTTTGTTCTCTAACTAATGAAGCAACAACCTGAACTGTAGCAATCGGATCTTTTTGAAAATATGATTTTAATTTATGAAATTGAATAGTAATTGGTCGTGGAATTATTACGTACCGTGTTGGATCAATCATTAATTTGATTGGTTCAGGTGCAAATAAGGCAACCAACTCACTCATCTTCAATTGATTTTTGTTATTCTTTTTTAGTTCTTTTTAATTTTTTATATCAAAAAACTTCTAAGGTTTTTTATTTTATCTCTTGTTTTTAAAATAATTTTAAAATACATTTTCTCTTTTGTAGATTTAATACTTTAATATATTCTACAATGTCATTAAATAATTTTTAATTTATGTTGTGATTAATAACATATTTCAATTAATAAATACAGTGTTATAATATTGAATTTACTTCTTAACAAAAAGAAGTTCAAATTATTTTGTTTTTATTAGTCTTCTTCTGTTAAAAGAAATATTTTTTTTACAATAAAAGAGTAGACGTGATTTAATTTTGTTTTCATTAATTACTTTCTGAAGTAAGAAAAGAAATTTATTTTTGTCAGTTATTTCTTTCTCAGTTCTTAAAACTATTTTAAGAATATTAAATATTTGTGATTAGAATTTGTCAATAGAAACGAGGTTTGAAAAAAGACAAATAAATCAAATAACTAACTATACTAAAATTTCACGAAATAGATAATTAAACTTATTTCCAAAAAAGAATAACAGAATAAAATAACAATACTAATTCAATTAAAGCTATAATTATTTACTTAATTTTTAATAACAAAATGGATAATTAGATGGATAAACATAAGAAGGATTACAATAAGAAGGATCCACACAAATCTGATAAAGAAGTGGTTCTGAGTTCATAATCATTGTTGGTTGAACTATCTGAAGGTCTTCAGAATGAACAGATTCTGTAGTATTTGCTTGTAAAATATTAAGACCTAGCATTTCATTAAAGAATTGATAATAAGCTGGAATAAATAATTCTTTTTGTTTTTTAACAAATAAACTACAAATATGATTTTGTACTGAAGCACCTATTTCTTCAATTTCTTTTTTAGTATAAGCAATACTTGCATTTGGCATAGTTACTGTATAAATTTTAGGTAATTGAACAGTTTTCTTTGCTTGTTTAGTTTTTCTTTTACCAAACGAAACTCCATTTTGTTCTGCATATTGAAGTAACCAACTAAAAGAAATAGCTGTTCTATTTAAATCTTTTCTTCTTTTAACTATTTTCAATTGGTTAGGTGTCATGTCTTCTGTTTTATCCAATTGGAATTGTTGTTCACAAAACTCTTCAATAATTCTTCCAAAATTAAGTGGTTGATTATTGAAATATACTTCATTAATAGTAAGATATTGAAAAGTTTTTTCTGCCATACGTTCTGGTCGTTTTAAATCAAAGCTATATCCGTATGAACTTAATATAGCAATTAATATTCCTTGTTGAAGAGCTTCAAATGATTTTGATTCTCTTTTCATTTCAGTTAATGTAAGTTTCCCTTCGTTTCGACTATTCATTCTTAAATTATTGAAAGAGTTCCACAAAACCCTTCGTTTAAATAGTTAAATCATTATGTTTCTTGCCTTATTCTAAAACCACTTTTTTAACTATATTTTCTATTGATTCTTCTGGAAGACGTGTTTTATTGTCTTTTTTTACTTTTTTTATTTTCCTTTTCCTTCTTTTTTTTGTCTTCTTTTATGTTTTTACGTGGTATTTTCTCTTCACAATTATCTTTTGTTTTACTTTCCTTTGGTAATCTTTTTTTGGGAACAATCATTTTTTTATATCGTTTTTCTGCCTTTTTAGTAATCTATTTTTAGACATTTCTTTTTATCCAATACTTCGATGTTTCATATTTTTTCTACCGTCTTTTTTGTTGTATAAATAGAGCAGTTGCATATTTTGTTTCTGTTTGATCACCAGAAATAGATCGTTGATTTAACTTATAGAATTGCATTTTTCGGTCAGGTTTGTTTGAAATTGTTGAAGAGAGGTTAAAGTGTTTTGAAATAAAAAATTTTTACATTGAATATATTTGATGGTAGTTGTTAAATGAGAGAAACTATAAAAATTAGTATTATTCTGTGGAGTGTAAATTACTTGTATGAAGCAGATGGCAGTTAATCATTCATCTAGAATGATTCATAACAATTTCCTAAACGAATTTATCGTTTTATTTTAAGCTAATAACAAAAAACCTAAAACAATGAAATTTCGTCAAATTTAATCCATATCTAAGAGAAGATCAAATTGATTTAACGTCGTAAATTCACTTAAATCAGAAAAAGGATTTTCTTGAAAAAATCTGTTTTATATCTATCAGATATATTGTTATTTAATTTTTTTTTATTAATTTTATCAATGAAATTATTAACAATTTAAGAATAATGTTTGTAGAAACAAAATGAAAAATTTTGTACTACAACTAACGAAAATAAATGTTTTTTTTTTTGTAAATATTTTCAATTTTAAAATGCCAACAATTTGTCTTTTATACAATCTATTGAATGAATAATAACATTTTCTTATCAATCATTTAGTCTCTTTATTAAGCAAAACATCTTTTAAAAAATATTGAAATAACGAATTTAATCTTCTTTGATAATTTAATCTTTTTTAAGAGTATCTAGACGTTTACATAAGGATTAAATTAAATTACTTAATGTTTCTAAATGTTTTTCTTAAATTAATGACTCATTTGAGCGTTAAGTCTAACATTATCTTCAAAAAAAAAAACAAGAAGAAATGTTTGTGATAAGTTGTGAATTAAAAATTGATATTATTGTATTGACATTCTTTAAGAAAGAAGCAAATAAAAATATGTTTTTTTTGTTGAGAGTGATTAATTAAGACAAATGATTAAGAAGAAGTTTTAAAAGAAGAAACAAATGAAAGAAGTGAGATAAAAGGGATATTTCAATTTTTAATGAGAAGAAAAAAAGAAGAATTTTTTAATAAAAAGGAACTTTAAGAAATAAAATGGAAAAAGATAAATGGAAAGAATTGTTTAGTAAAGATATAATTGACATTGATAAAATGAAGAAATTAATATATAAAGAGGGAGTTCCAAATGATTCAGTAATTCGAATGAAAGTATGGAAATTATTACTTGGATATTACACACCAAGAAAAAGAGAATGGGAAGAAATTGATTATAACTGTTTAGAACAATATGAAAAATATATAAAAAATATTTATCCAAAATATCCATCAACATTATTAGATAAAACATGGAATGAAATATGGAAAACAACAGAGAATTGTATTGATATATATCCAATAGAAACAAGTTCATTTGAATTAAATGAAATTGAATTAAAAAGAATACAATTAATAGAAAAAGATATTATAAGGACAGTTATTGGAGCACCAATTAATAGAGATGAACCAATTCGACATGACTTAGGATTTAGAAGAATATTATTTATATTATCATTAACAAATGGAGGAGTGTCATACGTTCAAGGAATGAATAATTTATGTAATGTATTTTATTCATTATTTGCATCATCTTCTAATCAACCAGATTATAGACTTGTTGAATCACAAACATTTGGTTGTATGTTTCTTCTTATTGATTTAATGAGAAATTGGTTTTTATCATCAAATGATAATCTTCCAAATGGAATTAATGCATCAATGAAACAAGTTGATTGTTTATTACAACAAACTGATAATAAACTTTATAATCAATTTACTTCTAATGGAATAGAAAGTAGTTTATATATGTTTAGATGGTTAACATTATTATGTTGTATGGAATTTACATTATTTGAAACGTTTATGTATTGGGACTTTTTCTTTATTGATCTTCATGAATTTGTATTATTAAAAGTAGTGTGTTGTAGTATAATTCTGTGCTTAAAAAAAGTTCTTATTAATAAAGACTTCTCATCTACTCTTAAAATTCTTCAAAATATTCCTTCAATTTCTCATTCTAAAGTTATTAAGAAATCTAAAAAGATTCTTAAAACAATTCTTCATTTTAAAATTCATCATTATACTTCTCAATTTCCTTTTAATGCTTTTATGCATATTAAAACTTCTTCTTCTCATGTAAATTATTCATTAAATAACCCACTCATTTCATTAAATAATGAAAATGCTTTATCTCCATCACAATGCAAACAAGTTGATACTTATGTTCATTTGTCTTCTTCTCCTTCTCAATGTACTAATTCTCTTCTCTTGGAAAAAAAATCTTCAGATCTTTCACAAATTAATAGAAAACATTCAATAGATCAATCTAAAAGAAAAGTAATTCATCTTAAAACAATCAAATAGTATTTTAATTCTTTAATTCATTTATTATTATTCTTTCATTGTTAAATATCTTGTTTTTTTTTTTTTAATGCATTTTTTAATTCATTTTTTAAGTATTGCTTTCTTCCGTTGGACTTTTCTTTGAACTATTCGACGCTTTTCATTTTCGATGTTTTTCATTCTTCTATTTGACTAAAAACATCTTTGAACTATTCATTAATAGTAATAATATTCTATTAAATCTAAAGCAAATTCCAATACCTTTTATTCACTTAGTTCAATGTATCTAAAAGTAAAAAGAAAGAAAAGGATTGAAGAAAAAATTAATTACACATTATAATATAAATTCATATCCATCTTTTTAACAACAGAAATTGAAAACAATTAAAACTTTCACTTAAAGGAACTAAAAAGAAAGAAGTCTAAAAGAAGACTTCTTTTAGAATTAAATTAAAAAAAAAAGATAGGAGAAAAGATAAAAAAGAGAAAAACACCAAATTCTTTTGAATTTTTATTTTTTGGAGAAAGTTGTTGTTGAAAACTGGAACTAACTCAAAAATCAGGTTGATGAGCACTCAAGTCGAAAGTTCACCATCAAACAACAATCAATTACAACAAGAAACTAAATCAGAAGAACAAATGTCTATTTGTTCAGAACATTCACCAACTACACCAGCACCTTTTTGGTCTGAAGAAGAACAATTGTTATTAGATGAAAATATTAAAAAATTAGAAATTACTGAAGATAATTTAAAATCTATTTTTCAAATCTCAATGCTTTTTCCAAATAAAAGTATTCAACAATTAACAATGCGTGTTCATTGGTTACAATTAAAAGAAGTTTGTTTTTTTTTTTCTATTAAATAATTACTATTAACATATTATTATCTAAGACTTAAAAACAAACATATATTTATTTGAATTATAAAATAATAATGAAAATATCTTTTAATAAAATATTCTATTTGTTCTTATTTTTATTATATTTACTTTATATTTCTCTCTTTTTTATTATATGTGATATTAATTTAAATAGACAGTCTCTTGGGAAAATTATTGGAAAACTTTCCAAAGAAAAGAACAACAAACTCCTTTACAATCTCCTAAAGATTCTAATCACTCTTCTCCTCGTTATAAAATGGAAAAATTAAGAAATAGAAAATCTTGTCAATTTATTCCTAAAAAATTATCTGAAGATCAACAACGTAGGAAAAGAAAATCAGTTCCTAATGGATTGGATGACTCTTCTCCTATTTCTTCACCTGATCTCTTAAAAGTACAATCTAAATATCAATCTCTTAATCAACAAACTCAATCTGATTCGATTCAATCAGACCTTTCAGATCCTTTAACACAAATACCAGGATTAATTCAATTTAAAGGACCAATGAATTTAAAACATAATAGAGGTTCAGCTCGTTTTATGCAATTACAATCATTACAAGAAAGAAATGAATTAAATTCTCTTCAATACCAACAACAATCTTCTAATGACCAAATAAAAAGAAGGTCTGGTATTATCAGTGTAATGCAAACTAGTTCTCAACAAAATATACCTTTTACTTCAATTCAACAATCAAAAATTCTTAATTCATCCCAAATACAACAACCATTAAGATCTATTAATCAAAAACCAGTAACAACAACACATATTACTCGACATCAATCATTACCACAAACATTACAACCACGAGTTCTTATCAATCAGTCAATTCCTATAAATTCATTACAACTAAATGCAATTAATCAATCACAATATATTATAAATCAAATAGATATTCTATTGAAAGAAAATGAATCAATATTAAAATGTATTCAAGAAAGTATCCAATTTAATATAGCTTTAAACCCAAATTATATTAATGCTTTTAATAAGAATTTACATTCATTACTTTTTCTAACAGATGAATTAGCTAAACCATCTTCTCTTCCATTTTTAAAATTAGTTCTTTCTATTCCACCATTATTATCACAACAAATAAATCAACCACCAATAGAACCCATATCTACAACAATCAACAATAAATAATTAAAGAAAATAAAAGAAATGGTAGGAAAAGAGATAATCTGTTTAAATACTTCAATTGTATTATTTTATTATTTAAATTAGTTATTTTATTATTAAATTAAATCACACAAAAACATTCAATAAAAGGAATAATATTATTGTAAATTGTCTAATGGAACAATTAAATTTGTTGCTTTAGTTACTTTAGTTTTATTATATTCTTCAGAAATAATAGTTATATTTGTTTGAAGGACTGAACGAAGGAATTGAAGATCAAATTCAGGTTCAACATCATTTCTATTTGATTTAGGAAGAGCAAATATTTCTTTAGTTTGAATTGTTTTTGTTTTCTTTTTAATTTCTTTAATATATTGTTGAATATCTTCAATATGGTTTTGAGAATTATGTTGTTTACTTAAATATTGAGTGTTTATTTCTTTGATCATTTTACTATTCTCCTCTGTTGGTGGTAATTGTGTATAAACTCTTTGTACTTTTGGTGTTTCATTAATAATTGGAGGTTGTAAATTTTCAACAACGGAAAGAAGTGGTTGATTTTCATCGACTCCTGCAGTAGAAGAACAGCACCCCATAATGATATTAAAACAATTATTTACTTTTTAAAGTTCCTTTCAATTAATTAAATTTATTATATTTTATAATATTAAAATCATATTTTTATAATAAAATAAATAACATTAAAAGAACAATCAATTTTTAATTAAAATAGTCATTAACAACCTCACTATAGTAGCAAATAATTGACATATAGTTGCACTCAATGAAAACCAAAATCCCATTTTAGGATTATGCATAGTATTATCCATAAAATAACGTATATCATCTTTTTCTATTTTATTTACACGAAATATCCATGCTAATAAAATACCAATTTGATAGAAACTATACATTATAAATATTAAACAAATAATAAAATTCGTTCTTCTTAAATGTCCTATTGTTGATGGATAAATTCTTCTAAAATCATATAAACAAATAAATATTCCTGCAATAAAATAAATAAGATGTGAAACAACAACTAATGCAGCTATTCTTTTATTTATTGAATTCTTTAAATTAATTTATCTCCACATGGATAAAAACAGATAAATTAATAAATATAATTACAAACCTAATTCGGCAAAATTATCAAAGTCTTTATATGACTTAATTTTACTATGTCCTTGTTCAGTTTTAATATATCCAAATATATTTAATCGAAACTCTGTATTATCTCTATAAAGATAATTCCATGCCATAGTCATTCCTGTTACAAAAAAAATTAAGCCTAACAAGTCTGAAATAAATATTATTAATGATATTGGCTTTACTTCAACAAATTTCATTTGTTTCTTTCAGTTCTTTTCTTTTTATGATTCTTTTGTTGTCATATATAACGTTAATTTATTTATTTATAGAATAACTCATTTTTTTTTATTTCATTCTTTTCTGTTTCAACTTATTTTTTTATTTATAATTGCTGTATTATTTAAGTTTATTTAATGATATATATTTGTTTTGTTTTAGATGTTGTTATATTAATATATCACATTTAATGAAATGAAATCATTTGAATAACTGACTAATGACATCAATTAATGTATAAACCATCTAATGGTTGGTATAAATATTAACTTTATTAATAATTTAAAAATATTAAATCATTGAAAATATAAGACAGAATGTTTTATTACAAATTATTATAAAATATAATCAATTCTTTTGGTTGAATTGTGTATTTATCAAAGACATTGTCTTAAAAATTATATAATTAATCAATTATTATTTTAATCATACCTAAATATATTAATAAAAAGACATACAAAAATGCAATAAATATAGAATTACAATAGTTATTGACTTTATTTTAATAATATTCACATATTAACTACAGATATTATATTACTCTTTTTCTTATTCATTTGTTTATTCTTAAATATCTTATTCATTTTAATTAAAAATGAATATAAATAAAGATATTGATTAAATGTGTATAGACATTTTGAATTATTATACAATATGAGTATTAAAAGAAGAATAACTAGAATAAACTTATTTTTATTTTCTCATATAACCTAAAATAGATAATTTCAAAAATAGAATTTTCAATTTAAAGAACAAAAAAATATAATAAAATAACGATGAGTGAAAGCCATTATAAGTCAATTGAGTCAATTCAAAAAGATATGAAACTAATTATTAAAGAATTAAATGAACATAACTCAGATGTAAAGGAAGTAGTTCAAATGTCTATATACTCAAAAATGATGAAAACTCAACAAGAGTATAATGAATATGAAAAAGCAATAAAAGAACTAGAAGAAATGATTGAAGAAAAAGAAAACCTATTAAATATTCACAAAAATTCCATAAAAATACTTACAGAAATACTTTTACAATATCAAAATGAAATTAACTATTTAGAACAAAAAGAAAATGATGAAAAAGAGTATTATAATACATTTATTGATAAACTTATTGAAATAGAAGAAACTAAAAAGAATAATGAAATAAACACCATTGAACAAAAATATTCTAATTTAAAAAATGAATTTGAATTAAAGAAAAAACAAATTAGTAATAGTCATATTACAATAGAACAAGAAGAATATGAAAAAGAAAATGTCAATGAAAGAAAAAATATTGAAATAAACGAAAAAGAAATTACACAACCAATTGAAATATCTAATACAATAAATACAAATTCAATTCCAAAAGATATAAACCAATTAAATGAAATTGAAGAGGAGTATGACATGTATGATGAAACTAAATTCACAGGATCAGTTACTACAATTGTTCCTCCTCAATTTGCTCAATCAAGTTGTAAAGTAGTTGAACCACCACACACTCTAAATAAATTACCAATTAAAACAATAGTTCCAATAGATAAACAAAATATAAAGCAACCAATTAATCAACAAGAAAAAAGTATTCACATAAATCCACAACATGTCAACCAAACAGAAGAACAATTTGAAGGAATTAATTATATTGAAAATTGGTGTGGATTAAAAAACCATTTGATTTTATTTGATAGTTCATTACCAAATGGAAATTCAAATGAAACTTTTGCGTCGTCAGTGTTAAATCATTCAAATATTGTAATATTAGTATTTGACTCATTAGGAAATATTTTTGGAGGATATATGAAGAAACCAATCCAAAAAACTGATTCATTAATTATTGACTCCAACCATTTTCTGTTCAGTCTTAAAAAGAAAAACTATCTTCAACCATTACAAGTTCTACCTAAAAAAGATAAATTAGTTGGTTTATACGTTCATTCAACAAATAAAAATGAATTATGTTATTTTGGTGATGAAGATAATGGATGGCTATCAATCCAAAAAACAACAATCCCAAAAAGTGTTTGTTGTTCTTTAAATATGGTCTATGACATTGATAATTCAATGATTAATGGAAGTAATGGAGAAGGATTTTTAATCGACAGAATCGTTGTTTTAGAAATGAAATAACACTAAAACACTGAATTTTTTTCTTTGTCGTTCTAATTAATACTTTTTTTGATATACTTTTACTATAATTAAACTATACTCGTTGAGTTATTTAAAAAACATAAAAAGTAACTGAAAAACAAAAAATTCATGAACAACTTAATTGAATGTCCAATTTGTGGACAAATGGTTCCTCAAAACCAAATTGAACAACACGCTAATCTATGTCTTGATGCAATGAATGAAGGAAGAAGTCCTCCCATAGTTATATTACCTAATGAAATTAATTCATTAAATAATGGCCGTAGTGTACTTACAATAGTTTCACCACTTTCAAGCCACTCTTCTGCCAATTTAAATGGTCGAGATGGAAGTCAAAGAAGAGAAAATTCAAAAGAGTTAAATAATACTAATCAAAATTATAATAACTTAGCTGATTTATTAAATTCAATAACAACAAATGAAAATACTGAAACAAAAGAAATACCAGAAGAAATAGAAAATAATAAAGTTAATTCTCAAAGTAATTCAAATGAATTAATTTCATCTCCTCCAATTGAAGAACATATTGTTAATATTCAAAAACCAGTTGATGTAACAATTAATATTACTGAATTATCATCAACTGGTATTTATCAAATGATACAAAAACAATATTTTAATAATCCATGTAAAGATTTTAAAGGAGACAATCAAAAGAACATTAAAGAACAACAAAAACTAATAGAATTACCAATTGAATTAGAAAATCCAGTTGATCCATTAATTTATATGACTAACCAACAACAAAAAACAAAAAAAGATATTCATTCAGAAGATATTCCAATTGGTTGGGGATTCAAAGGAAATATTTATAATGAAATAATGAACAAAGACAATAGATATTTTGATACTATACTTTATTTCCCAAATGAACCAGGAAAGTATATTCGTGCACATTCATTCATTCTTGCTGCACGTTCTCCATTATTTCAAATAGAACTTGAAGAAATGACAAGAATAGAAGGAATGTTTTTATATGAAGTAAAACAATATAAATATGATGATTTTCTTTATTTTATTAAAGTATTATATGGAGTATCTCCAAAAATTACTGTTACAAATGACAATAAACAATTAAAAGATATTGATGGAATGTATAGTCCATCTTCAGAAAATATTATTAATGATATTTTAAATTTACAAAATCCAAAATTCTTTGATGGATATTTCATTATAACAAAAGAAGGAAATGAAGTAGAACGAATTGGATTTAGCAGAATTTTATTTTATCTCTTTTCAGATTATTTTAAAGAATTATTTGATAAAAAACAAATAAATTATATCAATGATGGAATTAAAAGAAATTTATCATCAATTTCTTCTTTGGGATTTGACGTCACTCAAATTACACCAACAGGAGATTCTCAACCATTTGTTTTTAAAATTAAAGGAGATAATGAAGAAATTTGTTATATTCATCAAGCAATAACAGAATTTATTAAATGTATTTATCTTAATAAAAATTATTCATTAAAAGAAGATAAAATTGATGAAATAACAATACAAAGAGTTATTCCAATTTTACTTCATTTTGGTTCTTTATTTAAAGAAAATTTATTAGTTTTTAATTGTGAAAGAATTCTTGGACATAATCTTATTATCAAACCAACAAATTGTAATGCTTTATTTTATTCAATGAGAGCATCAAGTAATCGTTTTAAACAATTCCTTATTAATGGGTTATTAGAAACATTACCTGGATTTACACAAATTGATGTTATTGAACAATGGAGAAAAGAAATTGTTGATATGATATATGAATTAACTAAAGAACTTACTGGATATGTTTTTATTAATAAAGAAAATGATGATCAATTACCATTAGAAATAACTTGTATTAATCTAAGAGATATTCAAAAACTTGCTTCTATTGCATTGGTTTCTTTCGTCAATCAAAATAGTGATAAAAGTTTATTAATTAGTCGGTTGTGTAGTAAGAAATTTTCTAGCTTAACACAGAGACAAGATGTTATTGATTTTCTTTGTTACAAAGGTTTTAGAGATATATTACCCGTATTAATGGCATGTTTTGTTGGTTCAATGAAAAAAATTCAAGTTCAAGAGTTATTAAAAGTAATTGTACATGATATTAT